CATACACGCACATACTCACACACTTAGACACTGTGGTGACTTGAATATGTTTGGCCCACAAAGTGGCACTATTTGGAGATGTGGCTTTGTTGGAGTAGGTGTGGCCTTGATGGAGTAGGTGTGGCTTTGTTGGAGTAGGTGTGGCCTTGATGAAGTAGGTGTGGCTTTGTTGGAGTAGGTGTGGCCTTGATGGAGTAGGTGTGGCCTTGATGGAGTAGGTGTGGCCTTGATGGGGTAGGTGTGGCCTTGTTGGAGGAACTGTATCACCGTGGGTGTGGGCTTTAAGACTCTCATCCTAGCTGCCTGGGAGACAGTCTTCTCCTAAGGCAGCCTTCAGATGAAGATATAAAACTGTCAGCTCCTCCTGCACCATGCCTACCTGGATGCTGCCTTGATCCCACCTTGATGATACTGGACTGAACCTCTGAACCTGTAAGCCAGCCCCATTTAAATGTTGTTCTTTTAAGAGTTGCCTTGGTCATGGTGTCTGTTTACAGCAGTAAAGCCCTAAGTTTGGCAGACACATAACTAAAATTTTTAGTTTTATATTTTTTTGCTAACTTGATTATGTGTTTCTTTTTTTTTTTTGATTATGTGTTTCTTGAACTTCATAGATGGCAATGCCACATGGAAACAGCAAAATATTGCACACAATAAGTCATGGGGGGGGTAGGAGACTGTTGACTCTTTCTCTAAAGAACTAGTCCAGGAGTGAAGACTAATGTTCCTCTCCTTGAGTCTGGTCAGTTCCCATGACTTCCTGGACAGTGGTGTTTATATCATAGAAGGTCCACAGTTTCCTTCAAGTTCCACTACACTACAGGGTCTTGGCCCCAGTAGACATGATAAGAAATAACCCAAGCAGCCACGTGGAGAGACCTTGTCTGAAAGGCCATGAGATCCTCAACCATTTGTCCACCATAAGAGTCTGCCATCTTGGAAATGTCTCCTTCCTACTCAGACAAGCTGCTTTGTTCCATAGAGCATAGAAAGCCAGCCCTGCTTAAGTCCTTCCCAAAGTATGAATTTCTACACTTATAAGCAATATCCCTTAATTGCTACTTTTTTACAACCAGCCAGGGAGGGAAGAAGGGAGGGAAGGAGGGGTATTTACCATACTACTTAGCACACAGATAGAATGGACAGAATGAAGCATGTGTTTAACACTTGCTTTATGACAGAGTGATGGTGTAGGCACCAGCTATGATGACAGAGTGACGGCATAGGCACCAGTTATGATACTATGTCCTTTGGCACACAGTCAAGGAGATCACTGCTGTAAACCCTCTCACGAGTTCTCTGACTCTTAACAGGCTGTTAGGAAAGCAGTGTGCACTGGGCTTGGTATAAGACAGGCCAAGGTCCAAGCTGTGCTCTGGCACTCAATAGCTGTGTGGTTTGAGCAAGGGATTCACACTTGAATGAAAAAATAATAAAAAGATATATATATATATATATATATATATATATATATATATATATATATGCCCTTGGTATGGTAGAGAAGAATATTTATTGAGATAAAAGGGAGAGCATAGCCAGAGGTGGAGATTTCAGAAAGAGTCCAGAATGAACATGGTCAGACTGAGCTGAGCCATGTAAGGAGAGGGGTAAAAAAGGGGGAGAGGGAAGACAGGGAACCAGGTGCAGCACCCAAGAGGGCAAAGTTACAAAAGGGATGGGTAACCAAAATGGTTGGATTTCATAGGGAAGAACAGCCCAGTCCAGCCACCTCTAAACCACCACCACCACCAGCAGCAGCACCACCGCCACCACCACCCGTTTAGGGTAGGAGCAGAGTATGTAAGGACCCTGTAACAGGTAGGGGCTGAGGGATGCTAGGAAAACCTAGAGGCCAGGTCCATTTTGACATGTTAAATAGGCACTTCAGTCATTTGTCCCAGGGTTTGAGACTTAACTATGCTTTGATCTCAAATCCCTCCTTGGTAATCAGGACACAAGAATAGGACTATAGGTGCCAGAGGAGCCGTCCAGTATTGTATTGTTTGAATTCACTAGCAGCAGACCCTGATAAAAGCATTCCAGGGTAAAGACTTTACCTGGCAGCAATCCTAAGACAAGGTTTTAACTTCCAAGCATCTCTTTGAGAGGGCATCCCAGGAAACATCAGAAATGCTCCTGGGGAAGTAGAGTGGGAAAGAGAGACAGGAGCCAAGGGCAACCTGAAGGAAGTTTACAGTGCTCAGTTCTGGGCAGAGAGAAAGGAACACTCCCCTCAGAGTCATCCCAGCCACAGTGAAAACCCGGTGCTGCCTCAAAGGCAGTGTCTGTCTAGAGTGTGGAGCCTGCGCTACAAGGATCATGCCTGGTACTGGAGCAGAGAGCTGTGATGCTGACCTTAAGCACAGCTGCTGTGGAAGGTTGCAGGCACAGTGAATGGTGTTTTCCCTGCTTAGCCACAAACACATAACACATATTACATACATACACATACACTCACACACAGACGCTCAGATGAGTGCATGCCGTCACCTAGACAGATTCAGGATCACCAGTGCACACACGCTCTAGCAAATCGGCAGGCATTCACACATAAACATGGGAATTCTTGGAGACTTTATAGACTGGGCCTCTGACCAGCAGAGGGAGCCTCTTACACACATATAAGAGAAACAGGGCTCCTAGTCCCCAGCCTCGTTGTTTTAAAAGAATCAATCACACAGACTGTATACACAGGCCTAGTGCTACCTGAAACCCTGTCTTAAAAGGTTTGGTGGGGCAGGCGTAAAGGTGTGACTTGAACTACGGCCCTATCCCTCCCTTCCTCCTCTCATTTATTCACCTTCACAAGGTTCATGAATTTCGAGCTTTATGATCCTGTAAGACTCACAGTACCAGGGAATATTGAGAAGCAGAGAATAGTCCGGTGCCCAAGCCCACCTCCAGGAAAGGATCCTACCGCGATTGGTATGCCTTCCCATACCAATTTTTTGTAGTTGTTTTGTCGTGTTGCTGGAAGACGACAAGGTTGCACATGAAAAAACTGGGAAGACTTTGGAGAATAATGGACTTGTGGATCTCCTCCATCCTGGCGACAATGTAGAAGCGACAGCACTACCAAGAGCCAAGTGACTTGGATTGAACACGAGTAGGTAAGTTTACCACTCAGCAAGCAAGTACTGTGGACAGTATTCATTGGCCGACAATCCCATAACATGACACCAGGGGTCGCCCCAGGACACAAGACAGCTTTGCCACTGCCACAGTCTTCAAATTCAGTTTAGCAGATACTCCAGGCCACCTACTGACTCCCAATGCTGTAGCAAGGATATTGAGTGAGTTGCTTCCCTCTGAGACCTCAATTTCAGCATCTAGTAAATGAGATATCAGAAGTCATCCAAACTGTGGAGCGGTGTGTGGATATTTAAATAAGAACATGTGGGAAGAAAACTGAGCCGTGACAAGAGTCATTCCATCTCAAGTTCAATACCACCTTGGGCCAACAAGACACCCAGTCTCAAGAAAACAAGGGCTGAGGTTGTGCTCAGAATGGAGTGCTGGGCTACGTCAGACAAGCCTGGGAGGAGCACAGGAAGCATTAGGTCTCATCTGAATCTCACTATAGTAACATGGGGATCTCTAAGTCTCAGTCTTTAAACCCTTCTTCATGCGTGTGTGTGTGTGTGTGTGTGTGTGTGTGTGCATTCCAGTGCACACACACACACTGAGACACTTACAGTCTTGGTTGGGGAATGGTTTGTTGTTCCTTGCAATGCAGGGGTCACTACATTAGGTCAAGTGCAGGACTCCACCACTGAGCTACACCCCCACCCCAAACCCTTAGTTCGTTCTTTACTTTTTTTTTTTTTTTTGAGACAGATTCTCTCTGTAGTCCTGGATGTCCTGGAGCTCCTTACGTAGACCAAGCTGGCCTCAAACTCACAAAGACACTTCTGACTATGACTTGGATTAAAGATATGTGCCACCAAGCCCAGCTCCCTAAATACTAGACTTCCAGAATGTGTGTTCTAGCCTGGAATCTACATTCAAGTTCAAGAACTATTAACAGGACTATAAGTTAGTGTTTGTCTAATACATACTACAAAGTTTCCATCTTTCCCAGGACACTGACCCACACACAATATGTCTCTACAAGCCCCGTTCATCAGAAGCCTGATCTAACCGTGTCTTTCCCCGTCTTTGCTCATACCTTCCATGACTCCCTGTAGCTGTTTGCTCTCTGTTCACTATCCTTCCTCCATTCTGCTCCCACCACCCAAATCCCCACGTTACTATAGTGAAACTCAGATGAGACCTAATGCTTCCTGTGCTCCACCCAGGCTCAGCTGACATAGTCCAGCACTCCATTCTGGGCACACCCCTCAATCCTTGTTTTCTTGAGACTGGGTGTCCACCTGGCCCAAGCTGGCCTTGAACTCAAGATGGAATGACTCTTGCCACAGCTCAGTTGTCTTCCCACCTGTACACACATCTGATCCATGCACTGCTCCATGGCTTGGATAACTTCTAATTATCTCATTTAACAGACACTGAAACTGTTGTGAGCTCTCCAAGCTCTTCCCCAGCCCAGACCTTTGCTGATACTGTTCGTCTACTTGGGATGGTCTTCCCTCCCGTGGTCCATTCAACTTCTGCTCTTACTTCGGCCTCAGACTCCCCCCCCCCCGACTCTCCACTCCCCATATGTCTTTCAGATTCATTAGGAGCCAGGGATCTCGTGCTTGAAGCATTCATCATACGTTGTAAACAATCATTCACAGTTATAATTGTTTGTTCAACTTCTGCTCCTCTCGGATGAGAAGGAAAAACTAAGCTGGGCTGTGCATCTGACCCCATGCCAGTAGACACTGAATTAATATGCAATCTACTGACTAAATAAACAGTGCACAAATTGTTCCCAAAAACCTGACTTTAGTTCCTGATCAAACAACTATGTCCCAGTTGCTTCCTGACTGCCAAGATGCCCGTCTCCCCCGCCTTGAGCTCCATATCTGGGATCGGGTGAGGTGGAAGGTGTCTGGGTCCTTTTGCGTTTATTCTCACTCTTAAAATTGAGAAAACTCAGCAAAGGGATGGTGACCAAGAAGGAAGGAGCTTGCAAGGGTTCCAGGTCTACAAAACAACAACAAAGCAAACAGCCTAAGTCCTGAGATTCGGCTTGAACAGTCCTTCCTTGGAGCTGCGGGTCTCGGGAAAGGTGACGTTGAAGAGTCAGGACTGCAACCTCAGGCTCCAGCTTCTAAATCCTCGGTTTAGAAGTTAACCTGGGTACAGCCAGAGGGAAAACCAGAGTATACAGCCTCAGCAGTGAGACTTAGGTCCGAGGAAGTTTCTGTGTGGGGCCTAGGAATCAGAATCCGCAGGGCCAAGGTAAACTGACTTATGCTGGGGGCGTGGCCCAGGCCGAGGGGGCGGGGCCTAGTATGATTCCCTCTCGCTGAAGGGCCGGCGAGAGTAATTCAAAGCGGAACTTTGACCTCAAGGGATGGAATCAGCTCCCAAGGGTGGGATCTTGTCCTGAGGGGCAAAGTCAGCACCAACAAGATGCTCCTCTACAAAGCTCTGTCCTCCAGTACTTTCGAGGAGCGTAGTCAACGCCCTCAATATCTTGGGGGCGGATCCAGGTCATTGGAGGCGTGGTCTAGGCCTGAGCGGGCGGAGCCTGAACGCCAGGATCCGTGGAGCTCGCCCGCGAGGATAGCGGCTCCACGTTGAGCCAAAGGCCGTTCTCCGTGCGTAGAATAAGCTCCGGCTTCCTCCGCACCTTGTGGGTTCGGTCCACGCTCAGGCGGAAGCGCAGTAGTGTCAGCGCCACGACCACACGCATCTCTGCCATGGCGAAGCTCTGCCCGATGCAGTTCCTGCAGGAAGGGTTCAAATAAGACGCAAGAATCCTTAGGACGCGCAACCCTGAGAGTCAAACGTTCAAATCCTAGCACACAGCTTACTACTACCAATGCATCCTGACGGATGACCGCCTTTATCTAAGCTTCAGTTCCTTCCTCTGTAGAACTTGAATGATGACAGCATCGCAGAGCTATTGGAAGTATGTGAGCCCAGAACCCGGGGTATCCAGTTCTCAAGGACGGACTTGCAGTCTGATTAGGGATCTATTGGTTCAGTTAAGGAAGCAGAGGGGACTTAAGTTGCCAAAAATTACTCGTGGGGCTTGCTCCCTGCTTCCTTGGGGCACATCCCTGATCTGACAGTGGCTCTGCCCCTCCCACTTGTAGTGATGTTTGGGGTTAGTACAGGCCTTACCTGGGACCTGCTGAGAAAGGTACAAAAGCCAGCGGAGAGCGCTGCTGTGGGGTGTCCGGGTCAAAACGGTAAGGATTGTATACCTAGACAAAAATTGCCTGGGTGAGTCTGGGGACTGTCCCAACCGTCCAGCCCACTTGCACCTCAACCTCTGAGGACTCCTGTAGCTGAAACACCTTGGGGCCATTTGTTCCAATCTACCGCACACACTACAGCCTATCCATATCTCTCTCCTGTTGTCAAGCACCCAGGCTCTTTTTCTACCTCAGAGGTCTTTACACTTGATGTCTCCGCAGCCTGGAACAGACCTCTCCCACCCCATCTGTTTTTACCGCCTTAGAACATTTACCAATGCCCAAAATGACCTTATCTATTGGCTAGTTGTCATGAGCTTTACTTTAAGGTCCATGAGGTTACAGGCAGTGTCATTACAGATTATCACAGCTAAGCACAGAAGTGTGACACACAGTAGGTGCTCAATGACTATTTGTTGACTTTGTGAATAAACAAGGACTGAGTGAATCAGTAACAGCAGGGTCAGTCCCTTCAAGCAGCCCTGAGAAGCCCCTGAGAAGGAGCCAGGGCCACAGGACGACAAACGCAGAAACTTACCTTAGAGTCAGGCCACACTATGGGATTGTGGTGAGTCCCGTAGATGCTAACCAAGCAGATAATTCCTGGGGGTGGGGGGAGGATTGGAATCAGTGAGGCCCAAGGGAGTCTCTGGAAACACACACATGAACACACACACACACACACACACACACACACCTCAGCTCTTCCTTCAGTCATAGGTTGGATCCCTGTGAGCTAGCCACCATTACTTCCTGTCCACCCTTCTGTGAAAGCATGTGCTGCCCTGCTTACTCTGTCTGCCTCTTTCTGGCTGTTCCACTCACTGTCCGTACAGTATGGACATCAGTCCATCATTGCATCGGTTTTGCTCATAGGCAAGCCATTGCCCCTTCTCCCTCCCTAGGCTCCCTTCTTCCCTCTGCTTGTTATTCTAGGCATTCGTTCACCATGTGCACTCTGATGTTCTGTTCCATCAGCACGCTTGCTGTTACATCTTAGAGAACGTGGCCTTCCACATTCCCTCCCTGGATGGACTCTGCCCTCCATCCTGGGCTTCTCAAGCCTGTCTCTGCGTCTTGTCCATCCCTGATGCCACATGGACAGGAATACGTGGGGCCTCTCCTTAGAGACTGAGTGGTACTTAGGCCTGAGCTCCCGGAATCACCACAAATACAGGTTGGTTCTCGGGGAATAAACGGCAACTAAACAAACTGACCCTCTGGTCCAGCCCCCCACCCCAAAATAAGTTCAGCATGTAAAACTGCTTTCTGTGAAATCCCAAGGAAAAGGGTTCAAGCCTTAGAACTCATGGTGAAAGAAGAGAATAGACTGCTGAAAATCTCTGACCGTCCTGTGTGCATATGTGCGCACACAGACACACACACAATCATCATCATCATCATCATCATCATCATCATATTTTTTTAAAAGACTCTGATCTACCATTAATGCCTACTCAGATCCAGCCCTGCCTCCTCCAATACTTCCTTTCCATCTGAATACAGGTACTTCTACCTCCTCTATAAACACCTAAGTTTCCCTCTGATGATTGGTTTTGCCAACTTGACACAATCTAGAATCACCTGAAAAGGGAGTCCCAATGAGGGATTGCCTAGATTAGATTAGATTAGATTAGTCTATATGCATGCCAGTAAGAAATTTTCTTTTTTTAAATTTGTTTTTATCTTATATGTACCTTGTGTGAGTGTGTATATATGACGTGTGTGGGGGTCAGAAGTGAATGTCATATTCCCTGGTACTGGGGTTATAGGTGGTTGTGAACTGCCCAACAAGGTGCTTGGAACTAAACTCAGGTCCTCTGGGGGGGTAGCAAGTGCTTTTAATTTTTTACTTTTAGGTTTATTTGCTTATTGTGTCTATGAGTATTTTACCTGTATGTGCCTATGAGTATTTTACCTGTATGTGCCTATGAGTATTTTACCTGTATGTGTACCACATGCATACCTAGTACCTGCAGAGTTAAAAATGGGGTGTTGTATCCCCTAGATCCAGAGTTACAAATAGTTGTGAGCCGGTACTCTTACAGTGCTGAGCCATATCTTCAGCCCCCATAAAAGATTTTCTTAATTGATTACTTAAGGGGAGAAGACATTCTGAATGTGGGTGGTACTGTTTCATGGGATAGAACCTGAACAGAAGAAAAAGAAGAGAACTGAACTCTGGCATGTGTCTAGTCACCCATTGTTCTTTGCTCTTGTCTGCGGCTGCAATATGACTGAGTATTTTATGTCTCTGTCACTCTGACTCCTCTCCTCTGCCATGAGAGACTATAACCAGGAATCATGAACCAAATAAACGCTTTACCCCTAAAGTTGCTGTTGTTGGGTTATATTATCACATTGACAGAAAATGAAACTAAGACACCCTCCTCGCTCCCAGAGCAACTCATACCCAAGGATCGTTCCCAACACAGGGACCCTGCACCACAGCAGGCATGGCCAGAGCCCTGTGAACAGTGCCACAGCAGCAAAGGAGACAGAGCAGGCACCTTTGGGGATGATGCGTCCGTCCGGCAGCTTGACATCCTCTGTGCAGCGACGAGAGATGAGGGTCACAGGTGGGAACTGGCGAAGGCTCTCCTTGATACACATGGTGGTGAAGGGCAACTGAGTCAGGTCATCCCTGAAGAGAAAGGAACTGTGACTCCCTGAACACACACACACACACAGAGGAATGTCTGTGGAGGACCAGTTCATAGATCTAGAATGGCTCCAGAGCTTGTGCGATTTGCACATGTCCCAGGCAGATAGCATGTGTGTGACTTACCAGGAAAGAATGAAAATATTCTAAAGAAACACTCTACCCTCATTCTGACTATCAAGCTACTGGAGTAATGGAGTTCAGAAAACTGGAACTCCCCCAGGGATCTAATGTGGGACTGCGTAAGGGTATCCTGGGTCATGGTTGAGCAGGTGCCTAGAACCCCGAGACTCTGCAGACTCTACGTGGGATTCTGCGTGAGAACCGGCAGGAGTTTGGCGCCCCCCAGAATCCAGGATCCTGACAAGCAGTCACAGTCTCCATAGAATTACATTGTTCAGTCACATAGGCCAGGCTATAGGCCTCAGGCCCTAGGGATTTACATACTAATGAAGGCCAGAGGGCAGAGCAAATTAAACATGCTTCCCCCAGATCCTTCCCCAATCCTCCCCCTTTCTCCCTCCCTATATAGCTCAGGACTGCCCTGAGTTCTGGGGGGTACGCCTAGATCCATCTATCATCCGCCATGACAATAAATCTTTTTGGAACCAAGGACTTCCTCGTGTTATTGGGGCCTGCCGCCGCCAAGGCCTCCAGGCCGCTGGAACTATAGGGTTCCTCCCGAATGTGGGACCCGCCACAGCGCCGCTATGGCGGCCTCTAAATTTTCACCACAATCTAATGTGGGGTTAGGTAGAAATGTTAAGGTTAGGCACGCAGAAGGGAAACTTTTCTCCCAGAAAGAGACTTAGAACTTGTCAGACTACTTTACATATGATATGACGGGCCGATCATGAGTGGGACCACATCTTGACAAGGACTTTTTAGACACACATAACACTGGCCTCTACTTAAACTTTAACCTCATTGCAGACCCCAAAGGGGACTTGGGAAAGTATCACTGTCAATCTTTATTATGTCCCTCCACCCCCTTCCCAATATAGCCACATTGAATAGATCTCTGTTTTCCGTTCTCCATTAGTAACTTGGCTGTTTTAACTGGCTAATATAGAATGAGCCATGGTTTGTTGCAGGCACAGGCCATGACCTAAGTCTCATAAAACACTAGAAGATGCAAACTATCTGACCACTAGCCAGGCCTATATTCCAGCTACTTAGGAGACTGTTCTAGAGAGGGACTTCAAAGTCAGCCAGCATGAGCAAATTAATGAGTGAGGCCCTATCCTAAAACAAAAACGCAGAAGAAGGCAGCAAGGTGGCTCAGTGAGTGAAGGAGCTTGCTGCCAACTCTGGCAATCTGGGTCCAACCCTTGGGGCAGGAAAGAACCAACTCCTGCAGGTTGTCCTTCCACATGCATGCAGTAGCACACACACACACACACACACACACTAAATAAGTAAATGCACTAAATAAAAAGCAAAAAAGGAAAAGGTGACTGGGGTATAGCTCAGTAATAGTCCAATTGGTTGATATACATGATGTCCTAGGTTCAAACAAAATTATCTGACCTCCACCAATCACAATAGTGTTAAGTGGAAACAGAAAGCAATGGTCCTGGTTGCTGGGGCTGCCACTGGGCCCCACACTAACCTACCATTGATGAATTGCTGTACAGTCACAGGAGACGTGAGGGCAGCTTGGGGCCTCAAAGTCACAGCAAGTTGCCTCTCCCTGATACAAGCCAGTATGAAACTCACAGTATAGCCCAGTCTAGGCTCACACTTCTAGTCCTCCTGCCTCAGCCTCCCCAGTACTGCGATTATGGGTGTGTATTGCTACGTGTGTGTGTATGTGTGTGCGTGTGTGTGTGTGTGTTGATGTGTGGATTCATGTATACATTTAGGTGTTTGTCCACATATTATGTGTGAATACCTGTGGAGGCCAGTCATTTCTCAATGTCATTTCTCAGGCACCATCTACCATCTACTTACTTGCTTACTTATTTTATTTATTTATTTATTTATTTATTTATTTATTTATATTTGGACAAGGTCTCTTATTGGCCTAGAAGCCCCTAGACTTGCTGGACAGTGAGCCCAGGGATCTACCTATCTCTCCTCCCCAGAATTGGGATTTCAAGAGTTTTACACCATATCCGACTGTGGTGTTTCGAATAAGGATGGATTCTATTGGCTCATATATTTGAAATAATTAGGAGGTGTGACCTTATTAGAGGAAGTGTGTCACTTAGGATGGGCTTTGAGATTTCAAGGGCCCAAACCAGGGCCACTGTCTCTCTCTTCCTACGGCCTATAGAGCCAAGTGTATAACTTTTAAGCTCTTTCTCCAGCATCATGTCTGCCTGCATGCTGCCATGCATCCTACCATGATGCAAATGGACTAAATCTCTGAAACTGTAAGCAAGCCCCAGTTAAATTTTACGAGTTGCCATCTCTTTACAGCAATCGAACGCTGACTAAGACACCAGCTTTTGCTTTAGCGTGGGTTTTCATTCATGTTTGCAAGGCCAATGGAGGAAACGCCCACAATTTTTTTTTTAAAGGGACTCAGATAGCTGAGGCTTGCCTCAAATTCAACATGTAGACAAGGCTGGACTTGAACTCTTGATTCTCCTGCTTCGTCCTTTTAAAAGCTGGGATGTCAGGTGTGCCACCATGCCTGGCTACAGTGCTGGGCTCTCTGCATCCATCACTCAGAGTCAGCTTACATCTTAAGACTGCGTTCCTAGTCTCTGTTCTGCACATCCTCTCTGCATCACGATCACACAGCATGCCATTTCAGCCAGATTGAAACATTCCATCCCAAGGGTGATGTGTCTAAACGTGCTATTTACAGGGCAGTAGGCCTTTCCTACCCCACTCATACTGAGCTTCGCCATGTGACTGGCCTCCTTTACAATGTTTCAGTGCCCACAGAACTTTTTTTTACTCTTCTGGACTCTGCATTGAGAAGAACAGGTTCCAGAGTAACCCTAGATCCTAGAAGAGTTAGGAGACGTTTGGAGATGACCTGAACCCAGCCAACAATTTAGAATCAGTCCCACTCCACTCAACAGAGCCCAGTAGCACAAAAATCTTATACCAGTCAAAACTACAGTTAAATGCTTGCCACAAGCCCTGAATTTGAAGGATGTATGTTATATGGTGGGAAGGCAACAGTTGCTGATAAAGTTGTCCTGAGAACTGCTGAACTAGGGACAGGCATCATGAACATTCCCATGTTATGAATTGGAATTCTGAAAGCTGCGGGAACTTGTCTAAGACCACACAGTCAGAAAGTGGCAGCTCAGAGACTCACACCCAAGACTCTGGCCTCAATCTCCTCCCTCAATCCCCCTGCCACTTCAAACTGACCAGTCCAGCTCCTCCAGCTCTCGGCCTCTCATGACTTCCTGGATCTCTGCCCGGCACTTCTCCTGGTACTCTGGATACTTTGCCAGGTTGAACAGCGCCCACGACAGCCCACTAGATGTTGTGTCATGACCTATGGGCAGACAGATGTTGGAAAGCTATCGCTTTCTCGGGCAGATTAGAGAGTCCCCCAGGGTGTTCCCCACAGCAGGAGGATGGGGGTGCTTCTTCCCACCAACCCTCAGCCTCACTCAGCATCCTTACCTTCGAACATGAAAGTGTCTGCCTCAGCCCGGATGTCCTCATTGGATAATTCTTTTCCCTCTTCATCCTGAAACGGACAGTGGAGGATGCTGAGCTCACTGTACTCCACTTCCTACATCCTAGGGGCACCCCAAAGATATACCTGTTTCCCCATTTGTCTATTTCATTCTCCTTCTCTTTCTACTTTTATTTTTTAATTTATTCACTTATTGTATGCACACATTTATTTAGCGTGTGTATTTAGTACATACACGTGAGCACTGTGTACAATGCATATACTATGGTGCACATGTGAGAGCCAGAGGACAACTTGTTGAGGTCATTTCTCTCCTTCATACATGTGGGTACCAGGGATTGAACTCGGGCTGTCAGGCTTTGCAGCAACCGTATTTACCAGCTTAGCCATGTTCTCAGATTGTCTTTCTCTTCCACCCAACTCTATCAGAGACTTCATGTGCAGCTCAGACTGGTCTTAAGCTTGAGATCCTCCTATCTCAGTCTCCCAAAAGTTGGAGTTACAGATGTGCACTTCTGTGCTTGGCTTGCCATCCTGCCCTGTCTCTCTTAAACTAATGAGTGTAAATATTTCAGGCAGAGTGAAGGACGCAACCTACTATAAGACAGACAACTGGGGAATGGAGGAGGAATGTCGAACGGAGTTCATACAGGCATAACCTGATAATTATATTACAGTACAAAAAATGAATTAGGGGAACAAAAAGATGGATCAATAGGAAAAGGTGTCTCCTGCCCAACCCAATAGACTGAGTTCCATTCCCAGAACCCACATGGTATAAAAGAGAATCAGCTTCTACAGTTTGCCCTCTGACCTCCACTTTTCACAGGTTTTGTGGCCCAGTGTAGTCTCAAATTGACAATTCTGTTTCAACCTCCCAAGTCCTGGTATTATGTGTCACCACAGCCAGCTATTCTAAGTTACCTGGAGATAACTTATGTCTACAAAAGGACCATCACAATTTTTGCATGCAACTGCTTAATCTTGATGCTGCACACCTGCAGTTACTGAGCAGCCCCTGGCAACCGTTTATCCTGCTAGATGGCCAACAACTTTGTCATCAGATCTTAGCAGCACCTAGCTACAAGAGATAGGTACTGTGCTCTCAATAAAATATCCTCTAAGTGGCAGAGCCATGGCTGGAATACAGAACTATATAAAAAATTCCACACAAGAAGCTGAGCATGGTGTCATACCCCTGTGGTACCAGCACTAAGGAGACAGAGTCTGGGGGATCAGAAATTCAAAGCCATCCTTATGTACATAAGGATTTTGAGGTTAGTATTGGCTAGATGAAGCATTGCCTCAAAAATACAAAAATAAAAAATAAAAATAAAGCAACAGACTAAGAAGGCTGGACAGATAGCTAAGAGTGCTTGCTGCTCTGTAGAAGACCTGGATTTGGTTCTCAGTGCCCACATCAGGTAGCGCACAACTGCCTGGAACTCTAGCTCCAACGAGTCTGACCTCTTCTGGACTCTAAGGGCACTTGTACTCAGACACACGTGTACACATATTTAAAAGTAAAATAAATGTAAAAACAAGGGACTGGAAGGAGGATTTTGATGGTAGGAGGACTTGCATTACAAATAAGAAGACCTGAGTTTAGATCTCCAACACCCATGTCAAAAAGAATAAAGGAAAGAAAGAAAGGAAGAAAGAAAGGAAGGTGTGGATTGGTGCACATTGAGGACAGAGAGACACAAATCTCTACTGTTGGCTGGACAACCAAACTAGATGAAATAGTAAGACTCCAGTCCTATGAGAGACCCTGTCTCAAGGCGATAAGTCAGAAAGCCAAAGAGGAAGACACCAAACTTTCTGCTCTGGCTGACAAATTCAAATGTGCCTGCATAGACACCCACACACTTATGTACACATCATACACACAAAGAATGAACTGTAGCTGAATGATAGAGCACTTGCCTCAAATTCTTCATAGCCTGGCTTCAAGTCTCAGAACTCCAATGATAATAAAAATAAGAACATTTGGTTGGAAGTTTGCTCAGTGGTTACAAGCAATTGCTGCTCTTCTAAAGGATCCTTGTTCACTTCCTAGAACCTCGTGGGGAATGGCTTCCAGGTATCCACTGCTCTCTTCTGACCTCCATGGGCATTGGCACTTGTATGTACATACTCACAAATAGACATGTAATTAAAAATAAGAGTATCTGCACAGAACCTACAAACACATTCTTGCATACTTTAACCCATGAGTAGGAAACAGACTAGCTGAGCATGGTGGTATACATGTAATCTTGCCATCCAGGAGGTTGAGAAAGAGGACTGTAGAGTTTAAGTTTGAGGCCAACCTGAGAACTGGAGAGGGAAAGGAGGGGAGTGGGGATAAATAGGTTGAGCTGGCAAGATGGCTCAGCGAGTGAAGGCACTTTGACACTGAGCCCAGTGGACCTAAGTTTGATTCCTAGGACCAGACCCACATAGTTGAAGGAAAAAACCATCTCCCAGGAGTTGTCTTCTGACCACCTCTGTGGCAGGAATGTGCACCCCATATACAGAGAGAAACACACACACACACACACACACGGACGCACAAATTAATCAGTGTGACTGTTTTGTTTTGAGACAAGGTCTCAGTATGGAGCCCTGGATGTTCTGGATCTTGCTTTATAGACTCCCCTGGCCTCTAACTCACAGGACTCTGCCTGCCTCTGCCTCCTAAGTATTGGGATTAAAGGCATGTACCACATCCTTAGCTAATCACTGTAATTAAAAGGGTTTGTTTTAAAAGAAGGAAGCTGTGTATGTGTCCAGTAGAGAGCTTAATTGTTTTGATATCAGTTGTTCCAGCAGGACTCACAGCCAACTTGTTTACATATACAGGGATGTTCCACAGGACAAACCACACGCTAGACTATAATGGGGCTCATTAAATTAAAAGGACTAAAGTACTCTGTTGTGACATCTGAATAAACCTACCCCCATTATGCACCCCCTGTAATCCCTGCGACTTTGAGCATCTTTTTTCAGCAGTGACTGCAATTCCCAACCGGCCTCTAGGGGCAGGAGCCCGCTTTCACCAATTCTCACCTTGGCCAGCAGCAGCACGTCTATGAAGTCCAAGGTCTTGCCCTGCTTGGCCTTCAGCCATGCCTCGGCGCCCTGCTGGCGCAGCGCCCGCCGCCGCTCCTGTATGACTTCAGTGGTGAAGTTGTGCACCGTGTCGCAGGCCTGGCGGAAACGCCGCCCATCTGGTGTGAGGTAGTAGATGAAATCCAGGTAGTGATGCAAGCGGTATTGGCGCCGCACCACCAGAGCGCTTAGTTCGATGATGGAAGAGATGTAATCGCTCATTCTCCTGCAGAGAGAAGGGCTGTGAGCCACCTGCGCGGCCCAGAGACACACAGGGCAGCCCAGAGGCCGTTGCATAACAACAAACAGATATTAACCTATCTCGTTATTTTTTAAAATTATTTTTATGTTATGTGTATGCATGTTTGCCAGCGCGTATGTCTGTGCAGCGCGCAAGTGAAGAGACCCAAAAGGAAGCCTGATCCACTGGGCTGGAGTTACAGATGATTGTGAGCTGCCATGTGGGTGTCTGGAACTGAACACTGAGCTCTCTAAGGGCAGCAAGGGCAGATAGCTGGCCCTTCTCTCCGACCCATATATTTTCTTTTAATCTCTCTCTCTCTCTCTCTCTCTCTCTCTCTCTCTCTCCATGTGTATGTGCGTGTGTGTTGCTGGAGATGGAATGTAAAGGTTTGCACATTCTTCTAGGCAAGCACTTTACCAACTGAGGTCTCTCACCAACTTTCCGTTGTTTTGAAATGTTCATCATGTTGCCCAGGATGAACTCAAACTCATTATACAGCAAAGAATGACCTTGAACTTCTGACCTTCCTGCCTTTACTCACCCAAATACTTGAATTACACCACCACACGTGGCTTATTTTATTCAAACGCTATTTGTCTTATCATTATTTTATTTTTATTTGTTTTATGTGTACAAGTGCTTTGGTTGCACATCGGTACACCACATGTGTCCCTGCTGCCCTCAGAAGTCAGAAGAGGATGTAGACCCCTGGAACCAGAGTTACAGTGGGTGGTGAGCTGCTAGATGGATGCTGGGAATCAAACCTGTATCGTCAGCAATAGCATCAAGGGCTCTAAATCACTTAGACACCTCTCCTGCTGTGTTTTTATTACTAACTCCAGGGGGAGGGGTCCTGAGTATATACATGCCCACCACACGCATGCAGGTGCCCTGCGAGGCCAGATCCCCTGGAAGTGGAGGTACAGGTGGCTCTTAACTGCCCATCATGAGTGCTTAAACTCCAAATTCCAGTCCTATGCAAGACATTATGTGCTTATAACCACTGGATCATCTCTTCAGCTCCGTACCTGCTTAATTTAACTTTATTGCACAAGACTAGAGATGGAGCAGAGGGCGCTCTACATGAGAGACACAGCGCTTCACAGCTGTACAACCAGCCCCATAACAAACACTGAGGCACGAACTGAGTAATTGTTATTTTATTAGTTTAGTCAACAAATATTCACTGAATGCTTTTTACATGCCAGAGAAACTGCCAAATAATTTTATCCTTAAAGCATCCTCAAAGTCAGGTATTTTCATCTTTGCCTTACAAAGGACTGGAGATTGTGGCTCCGTCCTGTAATCCCAACACTCAGGAGGTGGAATCAGGAGGATCAGAACTCCACCCTGGGCACCGTGTGAAAGCCTGTGTCAGAAACCAGGAGGATGGATGGAGGTATGACCCAGCCCTTAAGAACACATGCTGCTCTCCCAGAAGACTCAAGTTTGATTCCCAGCAGCCATGTTGGACCCCTCGCAGCTGCCTGTAACTCCAGCTCCAGAGCACCTGACACCTCTAAGTGTTATAGGCACCTGCACTCATGTGCACATACCTGTGCACAGACACACAGCCATAGCTTTTCATATATATATATATGTATATGTATATATATATATATATATGAAGGAAAGGAAGTGGGACAATGAAGGAAAAAGGGGGGATAAGGATGAAGAAAAATAACAATACAGGAAGAAGAGGAAGAAAGTAAAGGGGATAGGAAGACAGGAGGAAGGAGAAGAGAAAACAAAAAGAACTAGGAAATGAAAGAATGAGCTGGATATTTCTAGGCTACACCCTCTCTGTGGGGAAATGGGGAAAATAGTGTTTCCTGAGCATCTACTAAGTGCCAAGACACTAGCTGACATAGGTTTGCTTACTTAATTATGCATTTATGTGGGTTTTGTTTTCATTTTTGCTTGTTTGTTTGTTGTTTGTTGTTTGCTTGCTGCTCACTTTTGAGATAGGTTCTTATGAGGTGATCCAGGACAGCCTAGAACTCACTACACAAGTTGTCCTTGACTGAGAGCAGTATCCTCCACTCTGACTCCAGAGCACTGAGATCAAAAGGCATGTGCCACCAGGTTGTCTGAGGTTTTGGTTTTCACTACGTTGTCCAGGCTTAACTCAAACTCGGCATCCTCTTGTCTCAACCTCTCAAATACTGAGATTAGGGATTTCAGGCGTGGACCACCACACCCAGCCAAAATCTCATTTGATCCTTTTTATAAGAGAACTGAAGCTGAGAGAGGTGATGTCACTTTGAAGTCCACACAGGAAGAAAAAAAAGAAAGGAAGGTTTCTTTCTGAGGGGATGTGGCCTTAGTTTGCACCACAACAGGGACGGTCCCTCTCTCCTCCCACTCCCACCCACCCTGGGGGCCATACTTACTCCTGGCAGTCACTGTTGTAGCTGAATACACATTTCTGAAGGCTGTCCAGGGTCATGAGGCTGACGTGCTCAAACATGTCAAAGGAGGTCACTGAGCCCTCTGTCAGATGCCGCCGCCATTTAGCCTGTAAGGGAGAAACAAGGCAATCAGGTATGAAGAACAACAGCTGGTTAGACAGCAGCCAGGCAGGATCCTCAAGGCCAATACAGTTCACACATAGCAAAGGATGCTCCGCCCCCAGCTCCATTTGTGGCCTCCCCTGCTGAGGCCAACCTCTTCCCACTACTCAGTCTTAGGACTCACGTGCATGATGTTTGTGCACTGGTTGAAAATCTTCATGTAGGGCTTCAGGATGTCAAAATGGAAGGCAGGTGTGAGCAGGCGTCGATGCCGGCTCCATTTGTTCCCTTTGCTGATCAAAAGTCCATCCCCTGAACCCAGAAACACAAGGCTAGAAGTCTATCACCGCTGAAGCCCTCCAAGGAATCGCACACCCTTCCCTTACTCCGGGTGTAAAAGACAATCAGTATGACTCCGGTTTCAGTATGAGATGTGCTTAGAGCCCATTGGGGAATCACAGAGGGGGACGACCTGGGCCCATCTTCCCCAACTGCTGCTGGTGCCTGCTTACGGGATCTCAGTTCATGTATCAGGAACCGAGGGAATCTTCAGTCCCAAGACACACACCAGATAGGGCTTTTGACTTTAACTACTGGGGTAGGAATCTAGGGAGGGGACAATGTAGACACCAGAAGGATAAGGACCTCCTTGAAAAACTCACCTAATGGGAAATCCCAGGGACAGATAAATATTAGAAATATAAAAGCCAGTTTGGGATCAAATTGGGGGATGGGCAGCCATTTGGTTTTTCTCTAGGCTAACACTCAACTCTGTTATGTTGTAAGATAAACTGGCTTACTTTCCGTACTCTGAGTCTCCAGGACTCTTATTATGAAGTGAGGATCATTGTTTCCCACACCTGAAACCCCAGCTTCATCCTCCCCTTCAGCACTTACCTAACCAAGGCTTCAGGAAGCTATAGAAAAACTCATCCTTGGGTGCAGTGGCAGCTGTGGGGAGAGGAGTGGGAATGACGAGTCTAGAAAGCGTTCTGACCCTTGACCTCTGCTTGTGACCTCCTCAGGCCTCTTCTCTGGGCCCCTGCCTCCCATCTGGCCCCACCTTCACACCTTGAGAAATCTTACAACATGCTGGTCTGAACTTGAGTCTCTCCTGCTCAGACCCCTCCCATGGCTCGCCACTGCTTTTGTAGAAAGAACTAGGAGTTGGGCACGGTGTGCATTATGCTTGTACAGTATGGTCCTACATTATGCTAGGAATCCAAGTAGTTGAGAGACGAAGTCAGGAGAATCACTGTAAATTTCAGGACAGCATCAGTTATATACACAGTGAGTTCCAGGCCAGTCTGGGCTGCTGTGTAATAATAGTTTTTCTTGGGGGAGGGGGAAGGGGGCGGGAATTTTGTGCCTGCAAGATAGCTCTGTATGAAAGGGTGCTTTCCTACCTGATGACCTGAGTTTATCACCTGGAACTCAGAAGGAAGAAGGAGAAAACTGATCTCACAAGTTGTCCTCTAGCATCTACATACATGATATGGTACATACTCACGTTATCATACACACACATGCACACACATACACACACACACACCAAATTAATAAATATAAAAGAAACCCAAGCTTTAGAAAAAATATCTATCTTTACGTGTGTTTGTCTGTCTGTCTATGTTTGTATTTTAGACACACACACGCCCTGACACTTGTAAGAGTCAACACCCCTCCATCTGGGTCACAGAGATCAAAGTCATTTGATCAGGCTTCCAGCAGTCTCCTTTACCTGCTGTGGCATCCCATTGTCCTAAATGCTGGCCTTTCTCATATTAAAAAAATAATAATAACCAAGTCAAATAAAGAGAATCCATTCTTAGCCTACCACTGCTCCACTGCTGGCTCTGCCTCATCCAGTCCACGGCATGCCTCTTCCACTCAGCTCTTCAACAATCTCTCAGCAAGCGGTCGCTCACACAGGCAGCCCGGCTGTGCTCCCATAGGAAAGCGGATGCCCTCTGACTCTCCCTGCTGTCACTATCAGCTCTGGCCACCTGAGTCACAGCAGTCCTCCCACAGACACACTCCCTTCCCTTGTCTGTCTGCTTTGCTGGCCCCAAGGGGATCAAATCTGTGGCATTGGTGGCGTCTTCGCCAAGCCACCCACCTGTCACTGTCATTTTCAAAGGGCTTGTTTTCAAAGCCAGCTGTGATCAGCCCCGGTCCAGATTTTGCTCCAAGCAGACAGCTCCACCCTCTGAACCCTTGCCACTCTGCCACACAGAACCAACAACACAGAGCCTCTCTGCTCCTAAACAATGTCAAGTGTTCCTGGTGGTTGGAGACCATACCTGTGTTCCTCAGAGTTTTGATGCTGAGGCAGAAGATTGACGTCAACTTGTGATACAAAGTGAGATTCTTTTACCTTATAAGCACAAGGGACTGGGTTTGGTCCCCAGAACCCATATTTAAACAGTAACGACAAAGCCAGTGACTGTCAGTGGGCAGTGAGGTAACTCATCTGTAAAGGAGCTTATGGCCAAGCCTGAACACCTAAGTTCCCATCTCGGGCCCCACAAGGTGGAGAGAATCAATGCCTGTGGCTTGTTCTCTGACCTCTTCACATGCACTGTGGCACTAGAGGCCTCTGCTCCCCTCTCTAGATCCCAGCATTGAGGAGAGGAAGAGAGAAGCAAATGTCGAGCTCATAGGTCAGCCAGCCTTGACTACTTTCAAGCTCCAGGTCAATGAAAGATCCTATCTCAAAAATAAAGTGGACAGAACCTGAGGAATGACAGCTGAGATTGTCCTCAGGCCTCCACATGCATACATGCATGTATACATACACCCCAAACCAATACACACACTCACGTGCACACACACACACACACACACACACACCTCCAACAGCTGGATACTTCCCAAGTCACAAGTTAGAGAATCAGGAAGGTCCCATTTTCCTTTTCTAACCCACATCCACTAAGTTTTCTGGCTGGATCTGGCTTCCCTAACAGTCAGGGAAACTGATGTGGCAGGTTTGGCTGAGCATGCACTAATGAGGCAGGTCAGGGTGTCCTACAGCAGGGTGTTGGGGTGAGCTCCTGCTCCTGGTGGCTTTAGATAAAACCCTGATGTTCTGCTGCTGCTTACTTTTCTGAAGTGCAAACTTTGCAGTGAAGTCTAGGAAGGAACCCCATGTCAACTGTGAGACTCCATGCTCCCAAGAACCTCAAAGAGGAGGGTGCTATTTGTCACTATGAGGTTCAGAACATCAGTGGATCCCAGATCTTTGTAGATGATGTTGCAAAGACTGCTAACCACAGAAACCCAGAGAAATCAAAGCTGATTCAGTGAGATAGGTTTGGTGGTGTCTACCTGAAAGCCCAGAAGGAAGCAGGAATTTCAGAAGTTCAAGATCACCTTGAGCTACATAGTAAGTTCAAAGCCATCCTGGGACACCTGAGACTCTGCCAAAAAAAATAAAATCTTTCTTTCAGTGAATGAATGAATCAAAAGGTGGATGGAAGACAGAAAAAATAGGAATTGGGAAAATGGCTCTGAAAGTAAGAGCACTTGTCGTGTAAGCATGAGGACTGAGTGTTGGCCCCAGAACCCAGGGGAAAAACTATGGGCAGGGAGATGGTCCTGTGGGCAAAGACACTTGTCACCAAGCCTAAAGACCTGAGTTAGATCCGCAGAACCCCCGTGGTTAAAGGAAAGAATCTGCTCTTGCAAGCTGTTCTCTCACCTCTACGTATGTGGTGTGGCTCACGTCTACCCCAACACACATACAAAATGCATAAATAAATAAAAACTGAAATTATAAAAATCAAATCACACATGGCTGCATGCACCTGTGACCCCAGTGCTGGAGAGTGAAAACAGAATATCTAAGGCTCACAGGCCACCAGCCTAGCTGAAAAAATGTCAAGCCTCAGGTTCAGTAAGGTCGTGCTCCTTGTACTACAAGTGTGCACAGTCACATACACATGTGTGCACACATACACACATGCATACTTGTTTTTATTTTTAAAATAATAAAGCAAAGAAAGGAAGGGAAGGAGAAATGGATATTGGATGGATGAACGGATGGATGGATGGATGGATGGATGGATGGATGGATAGTGGGGCTGGTAGGTGGATAGAGAGGGGTTGAAAAATAGGTGAATGAATAATAAGAAGAGTAGGAATATGGATGGGTGGCAGATGAATGGTGAGTATATGGATGATTGGGTGATTATGTGGGTGGATAGATGGGTGGATGATGTGTAGGCAGATGAATGGGTTGGTAGGTGGGTATAACTGGATGACTGAGTGGGTGAGTAACCTGATGTATAAACAGATTGATGGATGAATGTGCAGATGGATAGGCAGATAGGTGAATGGATGGATATATGCATGGATGCATGGATGGATGGGTGGATAGATGGATGGATGAGCATATGTGTGGTGGACTGTTGCCTAGGTGGCTGGATAGGTGAGTGGATGAACGCCCAGAAGAATGTGTATATGAAAGGGGCAGTTCTGATGCTAAGATCCTGTTCCTCAATTGCTTCTTAATCTGTCAGTAAAGAAAGCCAGGGGCCAATCGATGAGTGGAAGGTACAGGCTGAACTTCCAGGTCCCAGGAGAAAGAGGCAGATGAAAGGAAGGAGAGGAAGAGTTTTCTACCATGCTTTGGAGGGAGAAGAAGAGCCAACAACCATGTAAGATCTCAAAACAAAGTAGTCACATAGGCTGCTCCTGTGGGGGGGCTAGAGGAATTTACCAACTGAAGTTTAGGGCAGGTGGGAGAGACTGAGATAAGAAACTGATAAGGACACGATTTTCCAGGTGGGAGATAGCAGCACTCAGCAGTTGTGCCAGTTGGCAAGTTATAAAGGAACAAACTGTGTGTGTGGTTGTGTGCGTGTGTGTGTGTGTGTGTGTGTGTGTGTGTGTGTGTGTGTGTTTTCTCCAAGAATTCAAGGGAAGCCAGGTGGGGGCTGATATCACAGTCACCTCCCAGTGCAAAGGTGGTAGAGTAAAACTATATGCAACACATGTATGCATGCATGCATGCATGGATAGATGATTGGGAGGGTGGATGGACAGATGAGGGGATAAGTATGTAGACAGATGTATGGCTGTCCAGCCAGATAGATAGATGGGTGGATATATGGAGGGATGGATGGATGGATGGCGACGTCCTTCTTGTACACACCATAGAAAGGTTTGAGTGGAGAGACATCCAAGAATGAAGTATGTACACCCAATGTGATTCAGCCACCAATGCACACTCCCCTGCACTGGCAAACTGTATGCAGAGTCATCCTTCATCCGCACACCCCTTTGGTTGCCTTTCCATGCCCAACCCATGCAAGGTGATGCCAATGACCTAATGATGGCTCAGCTCCACTCCCTGCCTTCAGGAGCTCCTGGGTAGGGTGGGAAAGGGAAGGAGAGGTCCACGCCAGCCAAAACGCAGAGAGTGTGCCAGGTGCTATGAAAGCCACGGGGGAAAGGCTGTTGGAAGGCAGAGAGGCTTCCTAGTGGAAGAGGCCCTGAAAGCCAGATGGCAGGATCGTCACCTCTTCTCTCTTAGTTTTGGAAACCAGGCTAAGGTAGTCAGGATTCTTACTGATACCCAGAGCTGGTACACTGCTGTCTGGCTCATATGCCTGCCATTGTCCCTAGCACCCCAGGATAAAGTGCAAACCCATCTGTACTCTGGTCCAGCTTCTGCTTAACTCTCAGCCTCATTTCCTACTTCACCATGTATATGCCTTCCACTCCATCCAAGCCAGGGTACCTGAATTCCCATAGTACCTTCCAACATCTGTACCTCTGAACTGGCAAGCCTCCCTATCTTCAACTGTATACCTGCCTAACTCCTACACATTCTGCAAAGCCTCACTTTATTGACCGTTTTTCCAGGAAGCTCATTGCTTTCCCATCCTCTGTCCCCTTCCCAGCTGCATCACTGTCCCTCCATGATGGTCATGCTAGAAGGAGAAACTGCCTCTACCAGGCTGGTAACGGCACATTAAAGGAAAGGGCTTCAGAAAAGTTCCTGCTACATGCTGCCCTGCTCAGAGGAGCTCGTATACACAAAACTATCTTAGCACCTTGGCCTGGGGCCAGACTTCAGCTCTGCCAGTACTTGTTATGTCCATGGCTGCCTTGTCTAACTTCAGTGTAAGAGGATGGGGGAGAGATACCCAGGGAATGCCCCAACCTCTCAGAGGAGGGGGGAGGGAGGAAGGGACTCTGGGAGAGGGGCAGGATTTGGGGTGTTAATAATTAATTTTTAAAAAGAAGAAATAAAGGGACAAAAAGCAGGATGGGGTACAGGGTGGGGGTGGACATGAGAGTACAGCCCTGTGTATAAATGATCCCAGCAGCATTGTTCAAAGCAGCTAGCAGTTAAGTGACTGAATGCAGCCAGGGGGCATCCTGGGCCACAGTGGCAGTGGAGAGAGGCCAGGTCCACAATGAGGGGCAGGAGGGCAGGAAGCTGCTGGGGCCCCATACCCAGATCATAAAAAGCACAAGACCGATCTGTACCATGGTGTGGATGAACCTGGGAGACAAGAGGCTGTGAGAAGCCCGACACCAGAGCATCCAGAAGCATCAGGTCCATCTAATAGAAAGCAGGTTATGGAAGCCAGGAGATACAGCAGGGAGGAACCAGAGACAAGATTGCCTCATAGCACAAGCTCTCTGTGGGATGATGAAAAAGCTTTGAAAACAGAAAGAGTAAGTTGTTGCACAACCCTGTGAACACACCCAGTCATCACTGATGGTTCACCTACAAACACTGCACTGTGCACTGAGTCAAGTCTTCCAGGATACAGTAAGAATGCAGCCAGGGGTGGGGGCGTCCTGGGCACCAGTGGCAGTGGCGAGTGGCCGGGCCCACAGTGAGGGGCAGGAGGGCAGGAAGGTGCTGGGGCCCCATACCCAGATCCAGGCCCTCTCAACACTCCATCCTGCTCCTCCCGTGGAGGCAGCCAGGGCTACGGGCTTGAATGGGGAGGAAAGAGAGTGGAGGAGACTAGCTATGTTTGCCAAGTGCCTGAGCACAGCCAAGAGGCTCTCTTTGGAGAATTCAACTAGGAACCTGATGGTGGAGGAAGAAAGAGGAGGAGGAAGAGGAGGAGGAGGAGGAGGAGGAGGAGGAGGAGGAGGAGGAGGAAGAGGAGGAGGAGGAGGAAGAAGAGGAGGAAGAGGATGAGGAAGAGGAAGAGGAGGAAGAGGAGGAGGAGGAGAACAAAAAGGAGCAGAAAGAAGAGGAAGAGAAGGGAGGGAGAGAGAAAGATAAGAGAAAAGACAGTAGAAGAGAAAAAAACAGTAAGGTGGCTCCCTCTGAGGGTAAAAAAGCTTGCTACTGAGCCTGAGGGCCTCAGCTCCACCCTCAGGACTCACAGGGGAAAGGAGAGAACTGACTTCCACAATTTTATGGATACATGAACACATGTACACACTAAAGTGTAATAATAAACATTTTTAAGGCACAAGAGAACAGAGTGGTGGCACACACCTGAACAGATCATTAGTGTGAGCCAGCCTGAGCTATATGCAAAGACCCTGTCTCCAAATACCAAGCTGTGGTTCCAACACCCCAGCGGCGAAGTGAAACACAGAATCACACCAAACAGTCCCCTCTTGGCTATGAAGATGATCAGCTCCATGCAAGGCCATGCTGAGGACCCACTTCAGGTGAATAGACCTGAATAGACTCATCCACCCTGAAGGATTAGGACTGAAAATGGGACACCTAGAAAACAGACCCCTGGGCAATTATGGAAGACTTCCTGGAAGAAGGAGCCCATGGAGCTGAGTGTTGAGGATGAATGAGCACACTTGGGATAAGTGGGGACAGCAGACAGAGGTACTGACTTCTGCCTTGCTGCCAGCAGGCTGCCCACCGGGCCACCGAAATGCTTGGTCATGGTAGGTAGGCATGTCACAGTCTTAGTGAAGGGACTGTCATGGCCTACAACTGAGCAACACTTACTTACCAACCCCTTGGATAAATAAGTTGCTTAGATGTGACTGCAGCAGGTACACAGCCTTGCAACACTCCTGAAACTCTTACCCACCTCCCCACTATTGCCCACGTTCTCACAACCTGCTTGCCTGGCCCACTTTGGTGAACTTCTATCCATTCCTCAAATCCCTACTCAAGAAACACTTCCTCTGGAGCACCCACATATCTGTAACCCTAGGAGAATTCTGGGAGTTGAAAGTTGATTCATCCCTCTGAGATCCAACCTGCCTACCTGAGGCACCCAACACAGGCTTGATGAAATCAGGATGTACAAGCACCAAGAGAGGCAGGCAAGGTCCAACCCACGCCAGGATGATGTGGTGCATGGTGTCCAGCACTTTCTTCTCATTTTGAAGGCCCTTCTCATTGGGAAGATACTGTGACAGATAAAGAGAAACAATGAAGACATGACAACTCACCTTATTCTGTTCTTCCTTCCCTTGCTCCCTTTCTTCCTCCCTCCCATCACTGTCTGTCTCCCCCAGAACACTGAAGACAAAGATTTGGTGTCTTGATGAGCTTCTTTGAGTCGTTCCCTGCTCTAAAATAAGAAAGAACAATAGGGCTGGGGTGTGGCTCAGGGACCAGAATCCCAGAATCCCCCAGTGAGGGTTTGGGGACATGCCTGAGGGGCAGGATATGTGAGACATTGCCTCACATGTGTAAGAACCTGGATTCCAAAGTCAGCATAGGAGAGAGAGAGAGAGAGAAGTCTTGGTCTCTATGAAAAAACACTGAACAGATAGCTATAAGATGTTGTAAACAAGCAGTTTTGGTAGAAATTTACCAGCCTGGATGAGAACAAGTAGTCATAGGTCTTGTGGATAGTCATAGACCTTGGGTAGCCTTGGTGGATAGTACCAACTTAGATAAGGACAAGTGAATCATAGGCGGAGTCATGGTGACCTGTCCCCTGAACCTTCACCCAGCTGACACTCTGTTCTGGAAGATATCTGTACTCTCCCTGAACACCTATGCTCCTGCACCATCCCCTTCCCCACATCCTACCTTTTTGTGTATATAACCCCTGTGTGAAAAAGTAAAGATGGCGGTTTGATCAGCCTATAGACAAGCCGCTATTCTTTGTGTCTACCTGTTCCCCCACACACACTCTCTTTCAGATGATCTCCCCAGACCCCTGTTTAATGCCCTGCTGGATGGGACAGCCTACATGATAAGATTTTGTGTGTGTATATATATATATATATATATATATATATATATGCAAGGAGAGAGTTTGAATCCAAGTGCAGCATCATAGAGTTCAAATAATGAAAATAGCCACATATGATAGTGGACACCTTTAGTGCCTTTAATCCCAGTACCCAGTACTTGGGAAGCAGACACATGCAGACCACTATGAGTTCAAGACCAGCCTGGTGTACATAGCAAGTTCTAGGACAGTCAGGGCTACATAGAAAGATCATGTCTCAGAACAAAACAAACAAAAGAATAAGAGTAGATTCACCCTGAGAGGTAAAGTTAAAAAACCAAACTCTCCACAATTCCCATCCTTGCCCCCACTCTGGGCCCTGGGACCCAAATTTTGTGGGCATCAGTAACTCTCTGCTTCAGTGGTAACTACACAACTATAGAAGAAACTTACCTTTATTTTTTATTCTTCCTATTTTAGTTTTTAATAACTTATTCTTATTTTATGTGCATTGGTATTCTGCCTACATATATGTCTATATGGGAGTCTCAGATCTTGTTGCCACAGGAAGTTATGAACCACCATGTGGGTGCATGGGAATTGAACCTGGGTCCCCTGGAAGAGCATTCAGTACTCTTAACCACTGAGCCATTTCTCTCCAGCCTCTTTCCCCACACCCCATTGTTGTTGTTGTTGTTGTTGTTGTTGTTGTTGTTACCATTCTAGGCATAGATACTTTTCTTTAAAAAGTAACTGGTCGTGCCGGTAACTGCAGTGCAGCTACTGCACCCGTGTGTACATCTTGCCTGGCAGGTCTTTACTGTAACATTCAGCTCCAGCAAGCCCACTGATGTTGCCATTCAGGCCCCAGTGGCTTGCATTCCAGCTTCCAATACTATGAAAACTAGCTAGCAGGAGACACTTAACCCAACTGTATGACCCTGGGCAAATTGCTTGCCTCCTCTGAACTTTGGTCTCCTACTCCATACAGTGACTCCACTTCTAACCCAGCCTGCCCAGCTCTGTCCCTGCACACTCACCATGCTCATGTGGCCCAGCAGCCAGTGGCGGCCCGGAGGCTCTGGGAAGCAGCTCAACCTGCGGCAGGTGACACGGAAGTCACTGAATAATTTGAATGCCTGCATCAGCAGGCGGAAGAGGAAGAAAAGGAGCAATAGCAGCAGAGCCGACACTACATACACTCGAAAGGCCGTCTTCTCCAGCCCCAGTAGATGCAACAGGTAGTCAGTGATGGGCAGCATCCTAAGAGACACACAGGCACCAATCAGCGAGGCAAGAAGGAACCGGAGTCTAGCTTCCCTGCTTCGCACACAGGAGAGACTCATGAGGCGAGGCATCTCCCGGCTGACCTACGACCTTCACTTTGTCAGCATATACATCTTTCTTAAAACAAACAAACAAACCAAAACACAAAAACCAAACCCACTGTGGCCTGGCAATGGTGGCACACACCTTTGTTCCCAGCACTAGGGAGACAGAGGCAGGCAGATCACTGAGTTTGAGACTAGCCTGGTCTACAGAGTGAGTTCCAGGACAGCCAGGGCTACACAGAGAAACCCTGTCTCAATAAATAAATAAATAAATAAATAAATAAATAAATAGTCTCATGTTTAATTATGTGTTTATGTGGGGTAAAGGGTTATGCTTGTGAGTGTGGTGCCTTTAGAGGCTCAAAGGCCGTTTTGAGCCACCTGAAGTGGGTGTTGGGGCTCAAACGCAAGTCCTCTAGAAGAGAAACAATGCTTGTAACTGCTGAGCCAGCTCCCCAGTCCTACTTTTTCACCCTGGTTTTCTTTTCTAGTTATTTATTTGTTTATTCATTTGTGTGTTTATATATGTAATTTGCTTGTTTGTTTGTTTGTTTGTTTTGCAGTACTAGAGATGCTATACCCAGCAAGTGCTCTAACGTCTCTCTCTCCATGAACCCAGCCCCAGGATACTCTCTGCTGGGGCTCTCGCTCTCTCTCTCTCTCTCTCTCTCTCTCTCTCTCGTGTGTTTGTGTGTGTGTGTGTGTGTGTGTCTGTGTCTGTGTCTGTGTGTCTGTGTCTGTGTCTGTGTGTGTTAAATTAATCCCAGCAGAATTAACTCCAGTAGCCCAAAGCTAGATAATTCCAGATTGGCTTTCTCCTTTCCATTTCTTATATTTTTTTCTTTTTTCTTTTTTTTTCTCCTTACATTTTTTCAGTTTAAAGTAAAGATTCACATAATACATAACATTATTTTTTTAATTTTTGGAAACTTAAATGTTTAATAGTATGTATGTATGTGCGTGTGAGTATGTGCACTCATGTGCAGGTGCCTTCAGGAACCAAAAGAGTGGATCCCTCTGGGGCTGCAATTATAGGCAGTTGTGAATCACCTAACATGGGTGCTGGGAACAGAATTCCCCTCCTCTGTAAGACCAGTGCACACACTGAACCATCTTCCTACCCTCTAAATTGCCATTGTTATGTAAGCAATTCACATAATAGAATATTATTTGGCCACAAAAAAGAATAGTCTATTATTTTTGGCCAAACAGGTGCAGAAAAACATCATGTTGCATAAAATACGTCACTCAATCTTCTTTCATTGATTCATTGATTGATAAGCAGTGACTTGCTATATAACCCAGGTTAGCTTTAACTCCTGGTGTGAAGTGATACTCAGCTTCACCCTTCAAGTAGTTGGGACTGCAGGTTTGTGTAACTATGCAGGTCAAGGAAAATAAGTGAAATGCAGAAAAAATAAATTTCAGGCCAAGCATGGCAGCACATGTTGACATCCCTACTACTCAGGAAGCTGAGGCAGGGGGATTACAAGTAAGACTAACCTGGGTGGTATAGTTAAATGTTTTCAGATGAGAAAGGCAGGCAAGAAGGGAACATCAATTCTCTCTCATATGTGAATACATTTTTTAAAGTTTGTCGAGGTATAATGGTGATTATTAAGAGTCTCAGAAGAAAACTGGGCCTGATAGCACACGCCAACAATCTCCACTATTCCAAAGACTGAGGTAGGAGGATTAAAAAATCCAAGGTCTGAAGGGCCAGAGAGAGGATGCAGTGGTTAAGAACACTTCCTGCTTTTCCAGAGGACTCAAGTTTTGTTCCCAGCACATCACCTCAGGCAGCTCACACCACCTGTAACTGCAGCTCCAAAGGGTCCAACACCCTCTTCTGGCTTCCTGAAACACACACACACGCACATAAAAGTGAAAGAAAATAAATTGCATCCAAGATTTGTTCAGATCACACAGTAAGTTCTGGGCCAGACCAAAAGCCTAACGAGATTGTCTCAAATACACACACACACACACACACACACATTTCTGGAAGCCAACTGTGGTGGTGTATGCCTGAAATCTCTGCACCCGAGAGACTCAGGCTGAGGCCAGCCTGGATTACAGGGTATGTACCAAGCCAGAACTGCCTCAGAATAGATCCCATCACAAGAATAAATGATTAATAAAAATTATGAAATTAAGAAGGAAGCGCATTTCCACTGACTTTTAGCACTTTGACAATGTTGTGCAGCCACTGCCTCTGTCTATAACACTTTTATCAGAACAATACCCAGTGTCCATTAG